TTATTACACCATCACGCTGAGGTAAAAATAATGCTTAATTCAACAAAATAGTCATTTTTCTGGACATAATTGGGAATTGACCTGAAATCGACACCAAGATTTTTTTTACTGTGCTGCTATTTTTAAACTGATTAATGAAACCACTTTTGTAAATCAATGGGTACTAACTCAATGATCTAAATGTAATGCACCTACTACGAAAAATTATTCTGATAATTTCGTGGATGTACATTATTGCTGTGGAGTTTGAAAACTCGGCAGAACACTTGTCCATATATGAATTATACTCATAAAATCAATTGGTTCACAGTTAAATGTTGTTTAGTGAAAATAGTTCGCTTTCAGTTTTAAAACCAAAAGAGAATAGTAATAATATTTAACTTATTATTTACTGAACAACGATGTACATTATTACACCATCAGATTTAATAGTGTGGAGAACGATGTTTGAGGGGTTTTTCAAAGATTACAGTGTTACAGTAATCCGTGAAATGCTAAATGTCAGTTATTGTTAGTTATGAATTTCCTAACTAATACAAGTAATATCCAGTATAAGTCTTCATAGACTGAGTCGTCGATATATGTTGAAAATAGAATAAGTTATGACACATATCGAAAAGTCATTCACCAGTCGTACTGAAAATAAATAAGTTATTCGTGTTGTAATTTCCCTCTAAAGGATAGATGAATTGTAGCTAGAAATAGATTTCAATATACACGTCACTTTCCGTTTATTACTTGTTACATGCATTCCAATGTTAATGTCCATACTGCATCTCGAATCCAGCACCCTTCACTTTAAACTCCAAACACCCTGTCTACTAAGTTACTGTGTCCAGATAGGCATTGAGTTTTTTAATGTATGGTATTTACTTCATTATTCGAAAATTTTCGAAGCATTCTGTTGTTGATATTATTGACTAAGTTTTGAACAAGCTCTTTCAGCATATTTGAATCCAGTATTGTTCGCCCCGGTATAGCTGAATAAATTAGTGGTCATCTGAACTCAGTAGCTCAATGGATAACTTTTCGAGTGTTTGATACTAAATATACTGAGATTGAAACCTATCACTAACATCGGTATTGAGACTCAAGCACATCCGGTTAACGAGTTCCAAACACAACGAAATGTACAACCTAGTTTTCATTGCTACCAGCACTTCATCTGTTCTATGGCTAAATCAAAGCAGTTCCAGACAATTCAAACACTTAATGACAATGTCATTTCCGTAGTGCCACTCATCTGTGTTCAACCTAACAAACTGGACATTAAACGAGAATATTTATTCTGTTTTAATGATTTCTCTCTAGGTATCCTGAATTATCATTCGTTCCAATTGTATATGTACAGTTGACTTGTTGTTTTGATGATCTCCTGTTATATAATGTAAAGATTTTTTAACATCACATTTGTATCAAAAATTCAAAATTATGTTAATCATACAATCTATTTCACCATTTTATTTGTACTGATTTTACGAGAGAGAGAGAGAGAGAAAGAGAGAAAGACATTTTAATGATTGACATTTATTGGTTGACCAACATGATACTTCACTAGATGTACACTTAACTTATTTTCCATTTCCCATCTTTCTAAAAACTTTGTCACATATATATGGAATAGATAAATTCATATAGAATTACATCATACATTTGTTCTTGGGAATTAACATCTACTTGAAAAGTTAAATACACATCTGGTATGAATACTTAACTTGGATCTGATTATAAATAGCTAATGTTAGTACGATTTATTTTTTATAATTCCAGTCAATCAGTCAATAATATTTTAATCAGATGAATTTTGAATGTTTGAGCGAGAAAACAAAAACAAAATAGAAAATTAAATTAAATCGTTAACATGATTTTAATCATCAAATTATGACTTGTGCGAAAAGATAGATAAGTTATGAAGTGTAATAAGTGACGTTTCTGCCTCCCCCCTCCTTAATCAAAACGAAACAATCATAGTCAACTGGCATAACTATTTCGATCGACAGATAAAGAACAAACAATACACAGTATCATATGATCTTGTTTTATTCAAGTTATTTCTTTTAACATCTAAATTACTATTGTGATTTCATTTGCTTTTAACACTATTGTGATTCTTTTCTGGGCTTTTTTCGCGAAAATTAGATTATTAATAAACTGTAAAATTGTGGTGAATTAGACATAGACATGGATTTTTTTTTACATCACAAAAAATGATAACTATAATTAACTTAGGAAATGGTTACAGCTGATTGATCATTGATTAGTAATCGATTTCATATTTGCCCTAACTTGGAATCCTGTACGGAAACGGAAAAGAGGAAGGCCAAAGAACACATTACGTCGGGAAATAGAAGCAGATATGGGGAGGATGAATAACAACTGGAAAGAGCTGGAAAGGATTGCCCAGAACAGGGTTGGATGAAGAATGCTGGTGAGCGGCCTATGCTCCATCACGAGAAGTAACAGGCGTAAGTAAGTAGTGTGGCTACGAGTTTGAACAATTCGAAACCAAATGCACTGCATTCAGATGTCATATGGTTCGAAGTAATCACTACTCCGGTCTATAATTTGTGATTATCTCAGTACTACAGGTCAGTTACCGCTCGAATAGCTCGATGGCAGAGCCGAAATTGCAACGACTGTGAAGGCGGATAATGCGAGTTCAAATTCTATAGAGTGTCAGATGCTTTAATGTTGTAAGCATTCCATTCTAACAAGTCCCGAGTATCATGAAAATTAAATCAAGCAGGATTTCTTGCCGACTACCTAGCATCAGGAAACAGTGAGCATAAGGGTTTTTTCAAGTACACCACTTCACACAGGGATTAAAATTAAGGCCTTCACGTTTACCAAAAGCACTAAGGACAGTTCAATGGGACCTTAACTGTTCTGTGGAAAGTCATTTACGACAAGAGAACCTCAATGAAATTGCATAGCACATGCTTTGATCTAACCATAATTATCATTTTATTTAACACTTCAGGAACTTGATTTCAAGACTGACTATCGATCGATTTTGACTATATAAATCATTTTCAAATCATATCAACTTGTCATTATGTTTGAAATTTCTTTCTAGTTTTCTTTCTTTTCTTCACACTACTACTAATATTTTCATAATTAATGGATACCAGCTGATATTATATACATATAATACATATGATATTCAATTGAGACAACACCCATGATCTACACTATAAATAATGGCTATTTCTTGATTTAACCCAAAAGCATTTTTTTAAAAAGTGATCTTAATTAAATGGAATGGCTATTTCTATATAATTTATTGGTTTTTGAACACTTCGATTGATTCATTCAGTATTTCAAAACCAAAGAAACTAGTTCAATTTTATTTCGTAGAATAAGTTCATAATTCAAACAAAATGTTGATACCTGAAATGAAAGTTTATAAATACAATATAGAATCAATTTTTTTAATGTAAGCAAAAGTAGTATTAGAATATGGTTTCGAACCCAATGCCTTCAGTCACGGCATGGATCCGCATGGCTGAGGAGTCTCATAATAGCACGAAACGGCTATCCAGTGCTTCCAGGTTTTCCATGGTGGTCTAGCTTCGATTGACTCATAATCTTAATTATTGAAATAAGAATATATATTGAAACTTGACGAACATAACTGAGAATAGGAGAACGACCCCCCCCCAGAAACTTGATAAATAGTTATGAAGTAACGAATTAAAGATGATTTCATCAGTTAAACAATTTTTTTCACAATTCTATAGACATCAGATTTAAATTTAGTAATTTAAGGTGAATAATTAAAAATACATTATGCTTAAGTCTGTCCTATGACATAAAATGTGGTTTTCACAATACTGTTGTTTTGGAAATTTCAAGTACATTGTCAAATACAAGTACATATGAGAAAAATAATATTTTACATAATTAAGAGGGTAGAATCAATAAACGAGACAAAATAAATAAATTTCTACCTACTTTATCATCATTAAATTAACATTATTTTAGGGTAATTAACATTTTAACCAATCAGATTTTTACTAACATAAGTCACCAATAGCATAATGAATTTGGTCCACCAATCACATGACCAAATAAATTTGTGGCTTTCTTACCTTTATTTTTGATTTCATATTTATGTTTTATTACTAATCCACATTATTCCTGCCAATCATTTCGTAGTATTTTACGGCTAGATTACAGTATTATTATCATACTAAAACAGTCAAATATAAAACACCGTATTAACTATTTTTGTCTACCCCTTAATTATATTCACTGTAGGTGGCATATCAGACATACCACCCTACTATATTTTGGGACATGATAATGATTCGTTATTTTTTTTGTAGTAGGTGGTTAAATATTTTTGACCTATAGCATAACAGCATCCTAATCAGATATGGCTACCTGATAGACAGGTAACAAATATTCGCAAACTTAAAGTCAAATTGTATTCACAATACAGCACTGATAAATCTGTTGATACCAGGCGCAGCAGGGAATAAAGCTGACCATTTGCAAAGTGTCATCACTCAGCGTGCAATCAAAACCTCCCGGACAGTGTACTACTTGACTACGCGGTAAGGGGGCTTCAAGAAGCATATTCTTTTGGTTTTACAAGTGTACTACATCCTGGTGAGTAATAATATCACTGGAGTTTCTGTCGTCAAGGCTTTGTCAACTATAATTATATACGAATATATTTCCCGTTCATTTGAATACAGAAAATTACCAACGGCGAAGAAACCACGTGGTATTAAATAGGCAACAATTTAAAATAATTTATGGCCTCTATTTTATATTAGACAACCTGTCGATCATTCAGTAGGGTTCCAAAAGACCCTAACATGTTTCATACTGATTAATATTAATTGAATACAATTCCAACTGAGTATCTTTTCTAAAATAGGTCAAAACACGCGTACAGACAGTTAATAACTAATTCAGTTTTTTCGATATCGATTTCCCCCTTCAGATATATTCAACGACAGTAAAACAAACAAAAAACAGATAACGACAAGATGCACACACAATTATACAATGTTTTGCCACCTGGCGTAAATACTCAGTCACAATCCCATTTAAGATCGCAAACTTCCCATTTATCAAATACACCATTGATTTATTCTCATTATTATCCAAATGATACGGTATCACAATCAACTCATCAACACCATCACCATCATCACCACCATCACCAACAACATCGGGAGTTGTCACAGATTACTACAACAACCCCACCACCACCACAGACCGGATCAGGAGCAGCACCGTCTAATTACATAGAGAATGTACCTATTATTGAAAATTATCAGTTATCAAATGAATCTAGACATGTAACTGATACTGACAGTTTATTTCCAAGTATTGCACCATATACAACTAACTCACTGTCAACAGCGTCCACGTTGTCATCGTCCTCATCCTCATCTACTTCGATATCCTCTTCAACTTTAATGCCCGAAACAGCAATCGATTATAATAATCGTGGACATTTAAATTATGCTCTATCTTATTTATCAAATCAGACAAGTAATAATAAAAATTTTATTAATTCAAATTCATATCATTCACTGAATGGTTTACAACAAATAAATTCTTCAAAAGAATCAATTAGTGCGGATCATTTAAAATTATTATATCCTCAATGTTATGTTACCCCACCGACATTGAATGAAGATTTATTGGATACTTCACAATCGACTGGATCATGTGATACCTCAGTGGCAAATGTATGGCCTCAATCAATTATTAGTGCTCAATATTCAACAAATTTTTTATCTTCATATTCAACAGGGATGGCAGCTGCTGCAGCAGCAGCTGCCGTGGCTGTCCATTCAACATCTTTTGATTATACACAACCATCAATGATGTTATCCCCTTCAGGATCAAATACAGCACAACTTTGTCGTCATTTAAATGACAGACATTTAGGAAATAATAATAATAACAATGATAATAATAATTCAAATATATGTAATAAAACAACAGGACGTATAAAATCAACAAATTATTTAACGTCTACTCCAATTTCATCACATGTTAATGTAAATAGTCATATTTCAGAGACCAATTTTCCATTACCAACCTATTCTTCTGTATCGACATCATCTTGTTTACCTTCTGCAACATGTGAATTATATAATATACCACAACATATTTTATCTAATCGTTTATCAATGAATCAACATATAGCTTCCACTACATTAACATCTGTACCAACTGGTGAAGTAAGAAATTTAATCAATAACGAATTATATTATTGTCAATGGATTGATCCAGTACCTACAATACCTGGTTCTATACCGAAACCATGTTCTAGAGTGTTTGATTCAGTTACAGAAATAGTTAATCATATAACTTTAGAACATGTTGGTGGTCCAGAACAATTAGATCATACATGTTATTGGAAAGATTGTATACGAGATGGTAAACCATTTAAAGCAAAATATAAATTAGTTAATCATATTCGTGTACATACTGGTGAAAAACCATTTCCATGTCCATTTAGTGGATGTATGAAAGTATTTGCACGTAGTGAAAATTTAAAAATTCATAAAAGAACACATACTGGTATGTTATATTATTATTATATTTTTGTTCTATTTTGCTTAATATTACGGTATAGGTTTAATTGTTAAGACTTTCGGATTTCAGATATACAGTAGCAAGTTGGCACCTCGTACCACAGACTTTGATCTAGGTCACCAAGTAATATCACTAGCACTCATACTTAGAGTGTGTTTTGGAGCTACATATATTAATCAGTCCTTACTGATTAAGCTATTTACAAGAAAAATATAATAATAATAATAATAATAATAATAATAATAATAATAATAAGTATTTACCTTATTTGAGACTGACAGTTTGTGAGTTCAGAGAAAATCACTTTCATAAATAAATTGTACTCCCAAAATTATATGACCTTTTATCTGAAACTTATAAATAGTCCCAGGCTAAAGCAAAGACATTGTCCAGGTCTGTTTTCGTTCAAATCATGTAAGCCTGTGACGATAATAATCTATATTTATATGATTGTACGAAGTCCATTGCATAGATGTGACTAACCTTATCCTCTCACGGTATCAACGAAGTATTATTTTAATTTTACTTCATATTATATACTTATTCCTGACTTTAAATAAAAACATACTCATTAGACTTACCAGTGAATATAGATAAATGATTTTTAAAAATTTTAAACGATTCACTTATCAGTAGAAAACCATAATACCCCAATTTTCTAAACATTTCACAATCAAGCACAATTGTATATATCCGTACAAAGCGATGATAGATTATCACGGTCTTCTCAGAACACATAATTATCAATTTAATTTAAGAATTGTAAACTGAATATGTCAGCATTGCAATTTTACTGTTTATACTAAGATTAGTGTATGCTAAACAAAAGTCGTAAATAATAGGTATTATTAAGGCAGTCTATTAAGGATACACATGTACATCAATACAAACTGATCAATTACAACAGAAAAATGTAATTCTTAATATACAATGAGCATACTTTTCTCGTTTTTTTTTTGTTTTCTTACAATCAACTGACATTAAAAAAAACCCACTCAGTTCTCAATAATTCAATTTATGTTACGTTAATAATACAGAGTATTTATTACAAATGATTATTTTCCACCACAATCATCGACATTCAATGCAAATCGATTGAGTTTGAGTAAACTACTCAGAAATAGTGTTCATGACATTAAGTACCATTCACTATCATTATTATTATTACTATTATTGGTGATTCATGCTGGGTTTTTTTATATCTTCTCAATAAAAATTCCTTTTTATTATGGATTAATTACAATAATTTATCACTTATTTGTATCACATAAACACGTGATAAACCGTCTTGATAATGCTCATTCTACTTAATCAAAACAGAAAAACTACGGTAAAAATAAATCCAGAAGTGAAAATGTAGGATTTTCGAAAGAAATAATGAATGTCTAATTTTAACATTACATAATGATTTTAGTTAAACAATCACAGAAAACTAGTAAGTAGTGGACAAATTTTTTGTTTTAATCGGAGTTTTCATTACCAAATTGGAGGTTGAATCTAAGATCTAAAGGTCGATTTGAGCTAGTGTTCATCAATATATATATCCATAAATATAGTCATTAACTTAACAAGTAACAATTTTGATTTTCATTAATTCCTTTCTGTATCTCTGTTTCAATAATATTGACTCACTAGCACATTATGATGTTCATTTATTCAGTGAATCACTATAATTTTTATGAGAAACTATGAAAAATATTCTAAGTACTTAAACTGACACTTCTCATCATAAATTTAATGGTAAATCAAGCAAAAATAGTGAATACGCAGTATGAAAAAAGTAAGATTTTAAAATTCTTTACAACTCTTCAACCATAACCGTTAATACCTGGAAGCACTAGACATCCGTTTCGTCCTAGTTTAGGACTTCTCAGTAGTGTGCATTCACGATTCCTCACGCGAGATTCGTGTCCAGGATTTTCAGTCTCTCCTGTGAACACCTAACCTCTAAGCCACTGAGCCGGCATCCAACGGTGTTAAGATTCAAGCGGAGCTAATCCGTGTCAAGTAGAGATAGTTATCTACCTCAGACAATGGAAGATCGTCACGCAAGTTCATGGATTGGTTGAAATTAGACATTAACACCATTGGATGCCGGCTCAGTGGTCTAGTAGGTTAAGCTTTCGCGCGCGAGACTAAAGGTCCTGGTTACGAACTGCACGTGAGGAATCGTGGATACGCACTGCTGAGGAGTCTCATAATAGGATGAAATGGCTGTCCAGTGCTTTCAGGTTTTCAAAGGTGGTTTAACATTCATCGATTCATGATTTCAATGGGAAAATTATTTATTTATTACAATATAATTTATACACTTTCAATGAAATCCTGTCCAATAATTAGTTATAATCGAATATTCAATTCAACAAATTCTATTATAGTGGTTTACAATTTCAATGATTAAAGTAAATATTTTCTACAGTGTAATTTAGTTCCCCGCTAACTATTTACTTTCATCTGATCAGTGAGATAATATCAGTAGCCCTTATACAAAAAAGAACAACTTAGTACATAAACCGAACACATAGTTACTGAGATGTATTGAATGATTCTAGTGAGACATTCTACAGCTATATGCTACATAGATTTTTTTATATTTCCATATGTCAGTCATAGTTTCTTTTTATATAATTTATCAATGAACTAAAAAAAATGGCACCTGTTAGATTGAACAATACAATTTCACTTTTCCATCATTTTCTACGTTGACTTTTATATTCACTTTTATATTCTTTAAAGTATTTGTGTATTAAATTTTAATCTTCTTTATCTTAAACAATTCGCCATTTCTTTTCTGTTTATTTCATTGTGATCTTTCAAAACTAAAAACTTCCTGTTAAATCGTTTCAATAAATGGTAGTCAATAGAAATATTGACAAAAAAAACTACGTAAATATTTAAGGAAAAACTGGTTTTTCTCAATTGATACAAAAAAGGGTCGATAATAGATTATGATCACCTCAACTACAAATTGTATTTCATTGAGTGTGGGTGTGTGTGTGTAGTAGGAGTAGTAGTAGTGGTAGTTAAAAATTTATCAACACATTCTTGTTAGTTGTATGACCCATCTTTTTTTGGTTATTTATTTTTCCATTGAATATTGTACTCACATTATGAACAGGTGTAATCAAATGATCAAATAAATTAACTGATCTATTCAGTTCATTTAAATTGTAGTCTATAAATTAAGATTAGAATTGATCTTATCAGAGACGAAGACAGAGAGAAACCACAAAAATATAATGGTGATTAGTATAAATTCTTTAAATGACCTGTTGTGTATTGTTATCAGTTTAGTTTCTAACATGCTGATATGTTTTAAGTACTTAAAGGTAAATGTGTTGTTATTGGAAAATATACAAAACTTCTTATCGGTTTACCGACATATGAAAAGACTAAGTAACTCACTTTTTTTTCATTTCAACAAACTAATTCTTCACATTGTAACTCCACATCTACTAAAATGTTCAGTCAGTAAAATAACACAAGAATACTCAAGTGAATAAATATTATAATTTCTAAGAGGGCAAATAACGTAATTAAATAAATTTGAAAGTTCTAAAGTGAAATGTTAATCAGTTTTAATTTTCAAAGAAAATTTACATCAAGGAATAATGTCGTTATCTGAAGAAATGTTAAAGAATAAAGGAACACTGAATCGTTTCTCTATAACTAATACTTGACATGGATGTTTTAACTAACAAGTTGAAAGATAAAAAAGATGGGATTGAATCACTAAGTTTCATTCTGATTTTGTGGAGAGAACAACTTTCAGACTTTACAAAAACTACCCTATCTGTTAAGTCCCTTGCTTGATTACACCAGAATATGATATACAGCTAATAGTACTCGAACGTGTAGAACCCCGCAGTTGTAAAATCAGGAGACAGAAGAAACAGGGAAAGTGATTATGTACAGAAAAATATGGGTACTTATAGTTATTAGCGTTGGCTATAACATCATTATAATTCAGTCAATCTAAAAGGAAGCAATTTGTGCTATTGTCCACTCGTAGCATGCCACGTTGATATTCTAGAAAGCTCTGCCATATTCTGATTAGATGGAATCTCTTCGGCTCCTTTAGAGCCTTTGTACCCCTCGTCTTGCTTCTCCACACCGTCCCAACACCGACAAACCAGAAATGTTAATTATATGAAGGTAATAAAAAAGAATACTTGCTTCTCGGTTTTACATTGGTTGGCGCTCTTCAAAAAGGTGCATCATTAGCTTTAAAAACCCTGATGTAAGAGCCCAACTCCCCTCACTTATTGTTACATTCGTATATGTAACCATCCAGCTGTTCGGATTTTAACGTACTTAGTATATCGATTCATCTAGTCTGTCAGTATTGTTTAAATTTGACTTACTATTAAATAGTCAGCCGATGTGACTAAAGTAGTTAGTGTTTATTATGAACCAGCCGTCAATATAATACAGTTATTTCTCTATACTTATTAAAAGCATTCGCTTAAAATATTCTAAGTACACGGCATGGCATTGCACAGAAATATTAATAAATTATTTTATACTTAACAAAAATTTAATGGTATATAACGATATTTCATGTAGTGCTAACTGTTAGTTCGTTTGTTCCATCAGATTTATAATATAGTTTGCCGTTATAATTCATTGTAACTGATATTTATTATCATGACTGTCATTCATAATGCTAATTACAAGTGACATCAACTAAATTACTTACAGTATTATGAGAAAATTAACTAAGTTCTTTTTTTCAATTCACGTCTAGATGAAAGTTAGGTTAGATTATATGCATGATATATATACTTAACGTGTAGTAAATTAAAATTGAATGTTTATTTACATTTAAAATGATGGATATATTAAATAGTAATAATTTCGTAACGGCCCAAATGTTATAGCCCAAAGCCGACAATCAGAAGCAGCGAATTATCGATCGGACCAACGACGCGTAAAACACGTGCGAGCAGTCTAGAGTCCTGATTGGTCCTGCTTTCCGCCTAGCTCAGCCAGTTAAGTCCAGAAAATCAGTCTCAGCCTCTGCGATGTGAATCATTATATTTCAAACATACTATGTTTATATACCAATCAAACAGACCAAAACGTACAAATAATATATGAAACAACATTTGTACAAGAATTAGCCAGATGTGACTGTGAATGAGTGAAGTAGTAATTAATATACTGCGTATAACTCAAGAATGGTAGAACGTATAATAATAGTTTATGAGTCAAAATAAAGCTTATAATAAGAGGAATATGAATATGCATAGTTTAGTTACTTAATAATTATACAATAGAAATATACGTTTAGTATTGGTCCATCAATAGATCCCAAAAGTTGCCATTCATTATTCTTGTCGGGATATAACACCAACGTTCCCTAATCTTAAATAATCTACATATCAATCATAAACGACGACTGAAAGGAAGCTGCTTTTTTTCACTTTCAGCATGTCTTTCAAGAAGGTTTTTATTTAGGAACTGATATCAGCTAATGAACTACTGAGACACTACACTATATCATAAAATACTGGAAGTTAAAAAAAGGTATTTAGTAACAATTCAGCAACTAAATAATACTGTACTCATCATAAGTTGTGGAAGGGGTAGTCAATTGGTTAAGGTGTCCGAATTTCGACCACTAACCCCTGAGGTTCGGATCCATTTAGATACTTTGGTGTGAGCAATTGGGTAACAGTATTAGCCCTGATACCCAAGTACCTCTCGCATGATTTATCAATTATTAGTCATTACTTCAATTCGGTTTAGATTCATAAGTGGAGACTGTTGATGAGAGCTTCGAATAAAGAAGAAACATCAGTCTAGTAATCAATGATTTTCATTTGTTACTTCACTGAATATCAAATCAAGATTAAAATCATTCTTTTTCGTAAACTAATCTCCATGATTATCAAAATGAACATGCTGTTGATTGACTTGAAAAATATTTTTTTGCCTCTACTTCTACTATCACTTTAAATACTACTAATAATTCTATCGCCAAAATATTCAATTCAACTTTTTGTAAAAAAAATAAAATAAAATACACTTATTTTAATTAATACTAAATTACAAACCATCATGAATTTAAAATTTCTTCTAATTTGTGTTAATGTGCTAACAACTCACACGAACCATACACATATACACATGCACATACTCTTGCATTCCATAAAGATATAAATCTAAGCGAATACATTCTCGTATTTACAATAGCACTATTTTGAATAACTAGACAAACATTACACACAAACACTCACACATTTATATTTTTATATACGAAAATTAAATGCAACCCCCACCACTTTCTAATCATCATAGATTCCCGGTAGGGAGTCTAATTAACGAATAAAAAAAGAGCGAAAAAAATTCGAAGTACATCTTAGAATGAAAAATGTCTTAACGATAACCATTCAATCTGATTATCATTATTATTGAAAATAAAAGCAAATTGTTCTCGTTTTTAGAAAAAAATAACCTTAAACTCCTTTATACCTTGTATTTTTAGTTTGTGGTACTACTGTGCTTAAAATAAGTCATTTTAAAGCAGAAATTTAGTTAGTTTTATTATGGCTATCATTATTAGTAGTAGTAGCTATCACTAAGTTTTAAAGAGATAGCAACAATATGAAATTATTGTCTGATTTATTAATTATATTGTTAGTCAAGTGATAAGTATTAAGCAAAGATTTCTATTTAATTAAACGCTAACGTAAGTTTTGGGGTACGTTAAATTTGTGAAGAATATTGATTTTTACTAAATAGTTCTATCATGGAAGAACATCATTTGGTAAACTGGGATTGAAAATGACGGAGCAGTGGTTGACTGTTCCTCATTTTTTAAAGAGGCAACTCAGTGCGATTCACTTTCGACATCACACGCGATCAAACCTAAAATTTTTAAAGTTTTACGGTAATCATTATTCTATATGAAGTCTTTAGTGCTAACTGGTGATAATTTTGGAAATTAATCCAGCATTTCTTAGTTGTCAGTGGTTTTTAAATTGAGACGAATTTTTCTTCACCAGACATCAGAAGAACCTGAGGTTAATCATATTGATCACTGTTAAGTTCCGAAATGAGAGGGTAACAATTAATCGCTTTTCCGTGACTTTTAATAATCCGTTACTTGACAAAAGTTGACCTAAACATCTCTCTTTAGACTGTTATTTCTTACTGATTTATCATTCGGATAATATTGCCTAGATTAACTATTTAAAAGTGTTTGTTTGATGAATTAATAGAATTCACATTATTCATACTTCATTTTGTTTCTTGTTAATTAATTGGAGTTAATCAATTTGGTATGATAGACAAATATCGCGGAAATAACGAATCTTAGTTAAAATACTGCATATTTCATATCAGAGATTATTTACTGAAAAGTTAGTTATTTGGAAATGAAAACATCCTATAGGAACATCTCGTGTATATAAATATTAAAACAACTGAATCATTTATGTATTACCCACTACGTTGTTCCAGCATTTTCCAAGTCTTTTAACTCGTATAGTAATTACGAGGTGAATCCCGTCCTTAGCTGACATTATTTTGCGAACTATAGAAAACCAGAGGACATTAGATCGCTGTTTTTTTTCCATTATTGGGAGCACCCCATGTAGTGCACCTGCATAAAAGTACGCAACATTTAACACATGATCTTCAGATCTCAAGTTAGGCAACAAAGATTCAGTTTGTGACATATAATCCAGTGATCAGCAATTTCAATTTCAGTCAATATCTGTGATTCAGAGCAACATACTTCTTGAATAGTCAATAAATTACTGCTCAACTCACTTTTCGAAATTCACCCTATTCGAGACAATCCGCTCAGAATGTACATAAAGTAACAGAAACTGATCAATTATGGTTCTGTATATTAACAACAGGAAATTATTAGCCCTCAAGAAAATAATTAAAAAATAATCGTGCAAAATAAGTTTCATAGTTTGTACATTCAGAATTTGTTCTTTCGTATTAAAGAGGAAAACAATTGTCATTTCTTTAATATGATGAATATTCTCCCTTGAATTTATTCCTTTGTTAAACCTAAAAAATGTTGATAAGAAAAACATTATCAGGAAAAAGAAATGATTACATATTAGTTCCTGTTGTGAATGCAATTAAAAATTGCGTCATTTCGCACAGAGCTTACCATAATAATAATAATAATAATAATAATAATAATAATAATAATAATAATAAATATAGTGAGAAACCAAATAAGATTGTAGACTTAACTCACAACTGACGCTTTCTTTTAGTTTCAACTGAAAAAAAATATAACCATTCATTTGTTTTAATAATATCCTGAAAATATTTTCGCACCTACTCAAATTCCATTTGACTCTTATTTTATATGTATATTCAGTTTATTCTTTAATGAAGTTCTCTACTCGAAATTAAATTTTACTCACTTCTTTTGTCTGTTACAATTTGTATGTGTGGATGAGTAAAATTTCCACCCTTGTTTGTTGTTTTCTTGCTTTTTCATTTACATTGTCTCCCTTTTCCAGTTTCCCCTCTGCTCTTCTTTTAGTATCAATAATCATGGAAAATTTCATGAGATTTTTGTAACTTACAGTGGTGGTGGACACTTTTGAAGTTTGTATATGAATGCATTCAGGAGAATATGAAATATGCAGCTGCTGATTAAAAAATTAAAAAAATCATTGGTCTACAAACAGAAATATTGCTT